CCTATGGACCTCTTCACTTGTATGTTTGTTTGTAACTTTATTGTATCCTTTATAATAAACTGGTGATAGTAAGTAGAGTGTTCCTTTGAGTTCTGTGAGCTGTTAGAGCAAATTATCAAACCTGAGGAGGGGCTCATGGGAACCCCTGATCTGTAGCCAAGTGGGACAGAAGCGTGGGCACCTGGGGACGCGGCACTGCACTTGGCTTCTCAAGTGGGGGCCGTCCCGGGGAGCTGAGCACTTTGCCTGTGGGGTGTGCACTCACCCCAGGTAGATGGTGTCAGAATCTAATTGACTAGGGGGACACCCGCTGGAGTCTCAGAGAACTGGGGAATCCGCTGGTGTGGAAAAACCAAACGTTTGGTGTCAGAAATGTCTTGAGTATCAAATCAGTTTTCTTTTAGGCCCCTTTGTTCTTTTAGGGGAAATCTCCCAACACTTTCACAGGGTTAGGGTAGATTCACAAAGTGAGCATCTGGTAGCTTCCTAACCTTGGAGTGAATCCTGCAGCACCACCCAGGGGCTGGGGACCCCAGCCTCGCTAGGCCTCCTCCTCTGAGGAATGAATTAGCTGTGGGCTTTCGGAGAGTCCTGCAGATCCTTAAGAGAAATGCCTGCTAGGCAGGAGGAAAGGAGACTCGCCTCTCACAGCCCCCAAAGGAAAGACTCAGGACGAGAGGTGCCTGGGTCTCATCAATCCCTCTTCCAGCAGCAGCGCTCAGCACCCCTTCCTCCTGGGGAGCCACCCCGGGGAGGGCAGGGCCGCAGGCTCACCCCCTTTGACAACCTTTGTGCTGTTCACTGCACACTAAGCAGCTCTCCCTCTCCCACGGTGCTAAGAACTCGCCGGCTTCACTCAGGCACAGCAGCTTTTCCGAATGTCCTGGAGGGAAATGGACATTGAATTGCTGTACGCTGACCCCTGGCCTCTCATGCTCCTGTTCTGTGCAGCCTGTTTTGGGCATCTCCCAGGGGTGCCCTCGCTGGCCAGTACTCGGCCTGCACTTGGCGTGGCCTGGGGAAGAGGCTTATTTATCCTCTCCCCAGGCCTTGGTAGTGTCCTGGAAAGTCCTGCTTGCTTTCCCTAAGCGCACCCTGCGGGATCCTCCTCCCCTGTGCAGGGCCTTCCAGGCTGGAGGATGGAGGAGCGCCCCTCCCCCCACTTTGCTGACAGAGGCTCCCCACCCTGTGGCCTGGGGCTCAGCCACTCGCTGTGCTTGCTCCTGGCCCCACGGCTAATTTCTGACAGGAAATTCCTACCTCCTCCATGCAGCCCCACCTCAAAAAGGCAAGGAAGAGATTTGGAATGGGTGATATATTTTATTTTCTTTCATTGAAATTATTTCTGGCTGGATAAAGTTAGTACAAATTCAAAAGAGAATACAACTAAGCAGTAATTTTTCTTCTAATGAATCATTTTAGAGTTTGTATACAAAGGAGAATAAAACAAGGAGCTTTGAGCTGTAGATCAATACATAATTCAATTATTAAAAAAATCATAAACAGCAAAGATGCCCTCCTTAAAAAAACAAAAGAAGTGGTACTGAATTTGTAAAATTCTAAATACTGACATTCCTGATGGAGCATCTGAAATACAAGTGTGCTCGCTTCTGATTCTTTTTTGTTTTTTAAAAGATTTTATTCATTTATTTCTAGAGAGGGGGGCAGGGAAAGAGAAAGAATAACATTGGAGTACACGCCCTGACCGAGGATCAAATCCACAACCCAGGCATGCGCCCTGACTGGGAATTGAACCAGTGACACTTGGCTTTGCCTATGATGCCCAACCAACTGAGCCACACGGGTCAGGGTGGATTCTTCATTGTAGGTGTTTCCTCCTTGAGCCACCCCTCCCCCTGCAGAGCACCTACCAGACAGTTGACTCAACAGAGAGTCTGTAAACAGTAGAAGGAGCTGTAAAAACCTGAAGAGAAGTGTAGTGGATAAGCTACTCAGATATGCAAAATCAAGTATGTCAACTAAAAAGCTCACAAATGTTTACTGTGGGTTTTATTTAAAATGCCCACAACCTTTCTGCAATAATTATGTCAACACAGAAAGCCTCATGGGTCTTTCTGTTATAGAAATAGCTGCTATTTCTGCAGCGTAAACTCTCACTTCAAGTGTATTGTGAAGGCACAGGCCACTGTTAAGCCCTCATGAAAAATCACTCTCGATTCTTCTCTATGGAGTCGCTCTGGATTCGGCAAGGAGGGCGGTGAAGCCTGCAACCATATTTAGTAAAACCAGAGCAAGGCCCCTCTGGCTGAGCAGGTGGCCCGCTGGCCGGGTGGCCGACTGGCCCTGCCCTGCCAGGTGTCGACGGGAACTCTGTGTACGACTTTTCTGAAGCCGCAATCTGGAGGAGATTCTGATCATTTTTTCCATCACTTAAAATAATACCACTCAGTGAATTCTCCAATGGACTTTCTGGTCTATTTAAAAATAGCAACAAAACCCTACTGCTTCTTATTTTAAAAAGGGAACACCCAGTAAATATAATATTTTTATCTCCCCTGTTGGCCATCAAGTTCTTTGCCAAACCTTGCTTCAAATTGTTTGCGAGACAAAGTATAAATATAAATAAATAAATAAATAAATAAATACATAGATGGATAGATAGATAGATAGATAGATAGATAGATAGGATGGTGCCCCGCCAGGTGTGGTAGTGGGTAGTCACCTTCCCAGCCGTGGCGAAGACACTCCTGGGTGTGAGCAGGTGTGGGCAATGGGACCGGAAGCAGCCCTGCCGTCTGTGGGCCTTTGCTGGGTCCCTGAGCATTTGTTTCCTGAGAGTCCTGGAGTTTGCAGCTCTGAGAAGCCGATCCCAAGTCTAGATGTGGCCTTTGCCTTGGGACAGGGACACCTTGGAGCTCCACGGCCTGTGCTCTCTGAGAGTGGGCACACCAGCCTCCCGGGGGAGGTGAAGTGGAATTGGAGCCAGCAGTGGGCTCGGTCCTGCCCACAACCAGCCCTCAACTCCAACTAAGAGCAAAGGCAGTGAAGGAGGAGCCTCCCCAGCGCTCTGCCAACCCCCCCCAAAAGTTGGGCTCCTCATCCAGATGTCCGGACACTAGACAAGGGGCAGCACCATCCATGCAGGTAACTGCCCCTCACATCGACCTCTCCCAACAACTAGCAAATCAGGCAGACACCCCCATTGGAAAACTGCCTCTACTTTATACAGGAGCACCCCAAGGTGCTTTCTGAGGGGTGACTGAGGGAGGCCCAGCACCTCAGTCCAGGATCAGCACCTTCTGGGACCGCTCTTCAGACTCTCAGACTCACCTGACATTGCAGTTGAGGAGTTCCCAATCTGTCAGAGTTTAAGTTAATTGCCTGGTTGGAGAGTGGAGGATGCCAGGCAATGAACTCTGCCCCTGAGCACAGTGTGGCTGGTGCGCATGGACCTCGTGTTGCCTGCTTCGCTTCGCTCGAAGCTCAGTGCTGCGTTGGTTACCATGTGTGTGTCCCATCTGGCCAACCTGTCCTGAGAAGAGACACCGCAGCAGCCTGGGTCTCACCATGGGTGGGGTGAAAGCTGACAAACACAGCTCTTACTAAGCACCCAATCAAAGCTTAAATTTTAAAAAAACAAACTCTCCTGTAAATGAAAATTCAAATCAGAAAATAAAGGAAATTACAGCATCAAAGAAGCTATTTCAAGATGAATAGAGATTGTCCAGGAAATTGCTCAGCTGAGAAGTTAGCAAACATCAAGAAGTCTTCAAAAACCAGAAACCCGTCTTCTGCAAGAGAATGTCATCGAGAACACAGTGTGCTGGGCAGTGGGGAGTCACATCCGCTTCTTCTGAAAACTCGAAGCCCAGGTGCGTCCACAGGCCGATTGAGACACACACACACACACAATAGGTTTTCAAAGACCATTTCATGGCCCCTGAAAATGCATGCACTGTAACATTAAGATCTTAAAACTGTACACAAGATGTGACTCCAAGTGTGTCTGTGCTGTAGAAAAAATAGCTGAGCAGAAAGTTCGAGAGAAAACAGTCCCAGGTAGTAACAAAATTATCTTGAGGTAATGTGATTATTGGTGATTTTTATTCCCTTATACTGTTTTACAATATTCAAATCTTCTAGACTGAAAAGGCATTACCTTAGTGACTAAAAAAATAAGTTTGAGTAATATAATGTCCCAGGCAGTGGTAGAAAACGCTCCTGTGCTTTTCAGGAACAATAAGAAAGCATCACAGTCATGTCATTAACCCGCAATGCCGTCCAGCGTCTCAACAGGACTCAGAGGCCCCGTGGAGGCTGCCGCGATGACTGTGAAAGACACAGACTGAGTGACACTTTATTAGCCAGAATGTGTCAGGCTGCTGGGGTCCGGTGTCTGCATTCGCACCACGGGCCCTGGCTCAGGCACTCTGTGGGTAACTCACCTGCCCGAGTCACCACAAGGGCGCCGCACTGGCGGTGCCCACAGGGCCCGCAGCCGGGGGCCAGCCACCCTCATGCCTGCCGATGACCCACAAGGAGAGCAGTGCCCACAGAGACGGAAGCCGGCTGAGTCCCCCAAGGGGAGACAGGACAGACGCATGCAAAATTCAGCACCAAACCTTAAAGTGCTCAACGCAACACTGCTCTGTGAAAAGGTAGAAGTTGTGCTTGAATGAACTCCAAGTACTGATGCCTCAAATAGAATAAAGAACCGATCCACGGGAGTCAACGCCTGGTGTGCCCGGCACATCCCTCATCCTCACTGTTCAAATCCCCCAAGGAGAAGCCCATGTGCACTAAGAAAACAACGCAGAGCTCCACAACACGTGTAGGCAAGAGCATGCTTAGTTATGGGACTTCGATCCTCCTGGGTCAGTTACTGCAAGAGTGAAAGGAAAGGACTAGGGGCCGTTCAAAGCTGTGCTCCTTGGGAGGTGGGGAAACAATCTACAACCTGAGTGAGGAGCAGAAATTGAGGCACTGGACATGCCGGTGGTTCGGACGCTGAAGGACTTCCCTTTGGAAGTTTGACCGTGTCATTGATTGGTCCTGATAATTTTCCTTCTAAAGGACAAATCAAAGGACTTCTGGTCTTTGAAGCTTTGGGCTTTGTACTTTGCAAATTGTGCTGATCTTCTTTGACATTCGAGATCCAGTGTGCTCCTCCCTTCCCCAGAGCTGTCTGGGGGTGCCACCTGGGCTGGGGCACCGGGGGTCTGGCAGATCCCAGGCTCGGCTGTGAGCACTTCAGGACCCTGTGCTTGGTCAGGGCGGGAGGATGTCTGGCTCTTGGCCACCTCACGATGGTGTTCTTCCTCCCTCTGTGGCACTCCGGGTGTCCCCTGGGCACCCCTGGGGGCTGGGCTCTGGGACTTCCCACTTGCCACTGCTGTAGAGTTGCCTGTGGGCTGCACCAAGTTGTGAGGTGCCATCCTTCCGGCTTGGGCCTGTGCCAGGTGCTCCAGCCTCTCTGGGAAGGGAGGTGCTTGGTTCTCTTCAGTGTGGACATCGTGTTGCTCTGAGGGGTCCTCTGCAGTCCACACCCACTCCCCTGGGGGATGTTTGGTGCCTTTCTCAGCATGTTGGGAGGGAGTTTCCACTTCAGTGGTCACCGCGTCACTCCCGTGGAGTGTCTGAGCCTCTTCAGAGACACATAGCGAGGTCTTCTGGCTTGAAGAAGGTGCTTCTTTCTGTCCAGGACCCTTTGGCCCCACGGTGCCTGACACCCCCTCCTCTCCACCCCCTAGAACTGCCTGCAGCCGTGACCTCTCCCCAGGCTTGATTTCCTCTGGGTCTGAAGGAGCTACTCCCTTCTGTCCAGGACCTTTTAGCCCCACAGTGCCTGACACCCCCTGCTCTCGACCCCCCAGAACTGCCTGCAGCCGTGACCTCTCCCCAGGCTTGATTTCCTCTGGGTCTGAAGGAGCTACTCCCTTCTGTCCAGGACCTTTTAGCCCCACAGTGCCTGACACCCCCTCCTCTCCACCCCCCAGAACTGCCTGCAGCCGTGACCTCTCCCCAGGCTTGATTTCCTCTGGGTCTGAAGGAGCTACTCCCTTCTGTCCAGGACCTTTTAGCCCCACAGTGCCTGACACCCCCTGCTCTCGACCCCCCAGAACTGCCTGCAGCCGCGACCTCTCCCCAGGCTTGATTTCCTCTGGGTCTGAAGGAGCTACTCCCTTCTGTCCAGGACCTTTTAGCCCCACAGTGCCTGACACCCCCTCCTCTCCACCCCCAGAACTGCCTGCAGCCGTGACCTCTCCCCAGGCTTGATTTCCTCTGGGTCTGAAGGAGCTACTCCCTTCTGTCCAGGACCTTTTAGCCCCACAGTGCCTGACACCCCCTGCTCTCGACCCCCCAGAACTGCCTGCAGCCGTGACCTCTCCCCAGGCTTGATTTCCTCTGGGTCTGAAGGAGCTACTCCCTTCTGTCCAGGACCCTTTGGCCCCACAGTGCCCGACACCCCCTCCTCTCCACGCCCCAGGCCTGCCTGCGGCCACGGCCTCTCCCTGCCCTCTGTTTCCTCCAGGATGCCTGCCTGTGTGCAGGAGGATGCAGGTGGCAGGGGTGCCTGCAGATCAGGACACTTCTGAGGTGCCCTGACTACCTGCTGCTCTTCTTCTACTGTCAATGGCACCGAGGGAAACTGATGGGCAACTCCGGCACCGGCAGGAAGCAGCTTTTCAGACGTGACAAGCTTCTCATCCTCGGCCTGTTTCTTCTCAGAGGATGATGGTGGCTTATCCACGTTGCGGCATGGAAGCTCCTCTCCACCGCTTCCCTGCAGCGTGGGGTGACTTGAGGCTGGAACTGGGGACTTTGTGTTATTCCCCTGAGGACCTGCTTGTGCAGCCACAGTATTTCTGCTTCCTACCACGGCATTCCCTTTGCTTGCTGCCACTTTATTTGAAAGCCCCACTCCAGGTTCACCAGGCATGTGTGGGGGACCAGCGGCTTCCTGTGGGACAGTGGTCAGTGACTCCAAGGTCACAGGCAGGTTCTGTTCCAAGCCTTTGCAGACGTGGTTCTCTGTAGCTCTGCTGCTGGGATGCTTCAAGAACCCATCTGGTGACAAAAAGAGGTAGCCAGTGGGTTCATGACCAAGATCCTCTGCTATAAGACTGCGACCTGTTGGTGAGGAGCTGCATCCTCCCTCGTGCAAAATGTCCCACTTTTCATGAGTATTGTTTTCAGGGTTCAGGGCATTACCTGGGGCTGGTGCTGGGTGACTCTTGGTGACCTCTGTAGCTGTTTCCCGTCTGGGGGCTTTGATTCTTGGTTCTGTGCTTTCATTTAAGGAGACTGGTCTATTCTCGCCAAGACCATGGCTGGCCCTCCCTTCAGCCACAGGTAGGGGCTGGGCGGACTCAGGTAGTGGTGGCCCCCTGCATTCCGCTTGCTCACTCAGGATGTTCTTCTCGATGGTAGTCACATGCTCAGGCCTTGTCCAATCCTGGCTCGGTGCCACCAGCAGTGTTGGGATGCCCGCTGAGTTTCCCCCATTGGGAGGTGGCACTTGCCGACTGCCAGGGGCAGAGTGGCCATCCCCTCTCAGACGATTTTCCGAAGCCATGGAGTGACGGGAGGAGGTGCCTTTGTCGCAGATGGGCATTTCCTCTGCTTCTGGCAGGTTATACTTCTTATAACTGAGCTCAGGAACACCCTCTCCTGAAATGTTCTCATGATTCTTAAGTTCCTTTGAATTCCCAAAGCTGCCTCGGTCTTCCTTTCCTCCAGTGGGACTTGCCTGTGGTTTCAGCGCCGGGGCTGCCTCTGGGATGTCACGATCGATGCTGACGGCACCCCTGGGAGGTGTGAGACTTAGGTCTGCCTGCGAGTCCGGCTGAGGAGGGGTGCTGAGTCCCCTGGGCGCCCCCGCAGACTCGTTCACTCCTATTGTGGACACGCTGGTGCTTTTACTCTCTGTTGTAGTGGGAAATAGTGCTCGTGCGTTTGCAACCACACTCTCTCCTCCCAGCACGCGAGACTGTGGGCCTTCACTATCTGACGTCTTTTGTAGCATGACAGGAAGGAGTGGCAGTTCGTGGACAACCGGAAGCCTGACAGTTACCTGCGGAGGCTCGAAGGCCAACTGTGTGCTCCGGGCAGCCTGGGCAGTGGGCGTGTTGAGCGGTGGGATGTGTTCTGCCACTGTCGGTTCTGGGAAATTCTTCTGGACAGCAAAGAGAAGGTCTTGCTCTGAGTCTGAAATCACCCTTTCCATTTCATCCTCTGAACTGCAAACCATCAGGTCTACTTGAGGGGCCTCCTCTGCTCCCTCACCTGCAGGTCCAGAATGGGGGCCTGCCATTGCCTCCTTCACCCCCTGGTTATCATCTGTGGTGTTCCCTGCCTGGGGGCCCCCCATCCTGTCACCTCCCGAGACCCCGGGGTGCCCTGGGCTGGCTGATCCAAGTGAGGATAACTTGGGTTCCAGGCCAGGAAGGGCTTCACCTCTTTGGGAGGCAGGAGAGGCGGCTGGCTCAGGGGTACACTGAGGCCCTGCACTCAGGGATGCTGTTTTCAGGCTGGGAGGCATGGCCTGCAGTATCAAGGGCTGTGCGGGCTCCTCATGAGGCAGCTCCTTTCCTGGTGTTTTGTTCCCACCGGGTACCATCTCCTCCGCATTGAGGGACCTGCCTGTTTCTTTTGGGGGCATGCGCCTCAGGTCCGAGTGTCTGATTTTGGCGCAGTGGGACAGCCAGCTCCTGGGGCCACAGACGATGGTGGCGATGCTGAAGGCCAGCATGGGCTCCGCGGAGCAGGCCAGAAAGTGGGCCAGGGGCATCCTGATGCAGCTGCTGGCCATGGTGGCCGTGCAGAGCACACGGGCTTCAGGCCGGTGCATCTTCTTCCTCTGCAGGTTCTTTTTCTTTCGCTCTTCCATGTGGATCAGCAGCACGCTGGCCTCTGAGCAAAGACAGCTGCTCTGTTCAAACTTCTCCCGCAGTTTGGATAGGACCGAGCCCTTCTTGCCCACAATCTTTGGCAGTAGGCCCCTGGGGGCTTTGGACCGCTCGGCAGGAGGCATCTCACGAAGCCTCTTCTCCTCAGCCTCCTTCTCCTCTGCAGCCAAGAACTTCTTCAGAATGTTTTTCACGGTGTTTTTCCCAGTGGGGAGGCCCCACCGGGGTTTGTCACCACAGAGGGGCTCCTGGCCCCGTGCCGAGGTGCCGGTCCCTTCCTGGGTCTTCTCCAGGAGCTTGTTGATGGTGGCAGTCACCACACTCTTGCCTGGGCCTTGCTTGTCCTTGAAGATCAGCCTTCCCACCTCCCGAGTCTTCTTGAGGTAGGGCTCCCGGCCAGTACCCATGAACTTGGCCTGCAGGAGCTGAAAACGTGTGGGCCGCCGGCTGGCATCTTGGGGCTCTGGCTTTCGGCTCGCCTGGCTGTCCCCACACTCTTCCCTTTTAGTGGGTGGCGGCCGCTGGGGCCCGTCTTTGTGGCTGGTGATGTAGAGCAGCAGACTGCCGAGGATGGCGCGGACGGCTGGGTCGCAGGTCACCTTGCTGACCTTCTTTTTCAGGGCTTGGGCATCCACGGGTGTCTTTTTGCTGCACACCTTGACTCTCTTGGGGCTGTAAGGAAAAGAAACAACTGTCACAGATAGTTATCATTTTTTCCAAGGTGACTCCATAGAACCTTTCTTATGAAACAATCTCATTTTAAATACCCAAGAAGCCCAGGAGGAAGAACGGAAGCGTGGGAGCCCAGAGGCTTGTACTCTAGAGCATCCCACTGGTAACTTGGAGATGCCAGGGACTCCCCACACCTCTCTGGGTCACTGTTCCTTTTTCTGCTAAGTAGCAATGATTTCTGACCTAATATCCTGCTAATGGCTTTGGATGGTTGACATTAAAATAGCTTTCTGAAAGCAGTTTGGAAAATCACTTTGTGTGTGAAAGGTATTTAATGTTTTTATAATAGACAATATTATACTTGTATAAATAGGGGAAAAACAGACATAAAAAATTTATATTGTCTGTGTGGGCCTGTGCATGTCTCTAAGTTTGAGAAGAGAAGTTAACGTTGCGGTTATATCCTGATTCAATCCTGAATGGGGCCTCTGAGAGTAATCCGTCAGACCGCTGGCCCTGGGCCGGTATGAGGGCGCTCAGCTTTGGGGTGGGGGGTCACCGGGGTAGAACACTTGGGCAGTGAGTGGGTGGTGAACCCCGTAGCAGGAAGGAGTAGCCTTTGCCACGGAATGGATGGGAAGAGACCTGGGCCACCGCTGGGACTTGCCTGCCTAAATCCCTTTGAAAACTCTCCCAGGAACTCCCTGAGCCCGAGGAAGCCTCAAGCCACTCTGTCGCGGTGAGAACCTCATCAGCAAGGCTGCAACAATTCCTTCATCCCAGCCTGGCTACTGACAGGTCATGACCTCGCAGCTGCCTTGGGGGTGGACTTTCTGATATGTGATGGGGACTCTCTGCCCAGCAGCCAAGCTGAGAAGCCCTCTACTGAGGGGCCCGGCACTGCCTCTGTCAACTTCACTGTCAAGGCCAGAATGTCCTTCCTGGTGGGGCAGAACCATCTCCGGCCTCTCCGGGTAGTAGTTTTGTCAAGGTGCACCCAGAATTATAGCCTAGCCGTTGCACGCTCTAATCATTCTTTCCAAGAAGGGGGTCAGGATGTAGAGCAAAGACTATGTACTGAATGGAATGTCTTCACAACATTATTATGATAGTATAACTTTGGAAATATCCTAAATGTCTAAAACCTGCTTAAATAACAGCACATCCATATTTGTGGGAAAATAATCTGGTCCAGGAAAGTATTCGTGAAATAAAGTTAGAAGTGCAAGAAGCTGCAAAACTGTAAGTCGACTTCAGCCCAACTGTGTTTTTAAGAAATTGTGCAGGCTGAATACAGACTGAAAATAGACTGGAAGGAAGTAGAAAAACACATTTTTCTTTTTGTACTTGTATGTACTTAAAAAAAAAAAAAAACCCAACAAAACTTCTACTTTTAAAAGCCACGTACAAATATCCTTCCAAAAAGCTGTTCTGATCACCCGTGCATTAGTGTGATGGGGGGGCTCCAGCAGCCTCCCCGCGATGGCCCGCGCCCCGGACACAGGCCATTCACCCCCTGGCAGTCTGACCTCGCCTGCTGGGTGCGCCCGTACCATCACCCAATGCCTGGGAACAGATCTCAATACAGAGAATTTTGAGAGGATGGCAAAAGTAACCTTGGAGTTCCACCTACGGCTCCCTGAGAACTTCAAATTCACCTCCATGCACTGAATTCACACAGAAAGCGGCTGCTTTCGTTACTCTCATACACTAGGGGACACCAGAACATTGAGGGGACCCACTGAAACCCAGAGTGATGGGCTACGGTTTCTGATGCAGTCTGTCTTCGAGGGGCCAAGAACTTGCATTTCAAACAAGTTCCCTGAGTGGCCAATGCTGCTGCCCAGCCTCAGACAACTGTGGACTTGGAGAATCAAAGCAGTGGATTAGTCTCCTAACCCCAAACCAATTATCTGAGCCCACAGTAAGCTACAGCATGGTACGAGCCAGCACGGCCTGGAAATAACAACTGCAAAGAAATCCCAGAGGGCACGGGCCCCATCCAGCCCCAACAAGGCTGAGAGGCTTGCTGTTCACTGAGAACTGGCAGCAGGGGCAAGCCCACCTGGGAAGGTGCCAGCCTGCGTCCTCAAAACCGGTAAGCCCGCCCAGGACACACACAGGTTCTGGACAGCATCAGGGATTAGGGGCGACAGAGGAGCAGGCGGATTTCCATGTCGTTGTATCAGCCTTTGGTGCTCTGCGATCTATTTGGGAAGGTTGGCATCACACCTCACCCACCTGTGGAACTGGCATCATCGCCAAACTGCCCACTTTCCCTGAACCCCCAGGTGTCCTACAGGGACAGCCTCTCTCCCTTTGGAGTAGGTCCCTCACCAAGGCTGCGTCAGGTTACCAGAGACCTCCTTTTACCAGAGAAGGCAGGTTGTCAGGAGCCAACGCCAGGGACTCAGTAGTCCAGGCCAAAGTCTTTCATGGGGCTTCCTCCAGAGCCCTCAACATATAACTCTCCCAAACTTTCAAAGGCAGCCTGAAAGGGACCTGGCCGCGGACCCCATCGGGACAGTGAGGAGGTGGGGGCTGGTCCCTGTGGTGGGTGCTGGGTTGTCGGGAGAAAGTGCTGCTCAACGCACGTGCTCCACGATTTGAGAGCTGCCGTGTCTGCAGTCGGAAGTAAAATGAGAATTGTGATTGGTGACATCATGGCCTCGTGGATGGCTTGGTTGGCTGGTGGCATTTTTTATTTCCCAGAGGCACATAGACAGTGGCATCTCTGGGTGGCCTCAATAGAATTCATCACGATGTCCCGTTGTAAACTTCTCTGGGCACTTGTCCAGTGCCAGCTGGTGAGCTCCCCTGCTCCTCACACTGGTTTATCTCTTCGTGTCTTGTTATCGCTTAGGTATGGTTATTACCCCTTCCACATCTGAGAACTCTAACCATAGAGACATTCAGTGGCTTGTTGGAGATCATGGGGCTAACTGAGTGCAGAACTGGGGTGTGGTCAGTGCTCAGCTTCCTGGAACATGGTGGGGATCACCCCTGAGAACTGCCCACATCTCAGTGCCTGACCAGACATCTGGGGTCTCACAGGCACATCACACGTGACTGAACTCACCTCCCCGCTCCCCAAATCCCTCCTCCTGTTTTCCCTGCCTTTACAAATGACACCTGCAATCCTATGGCCTGAGGATGGGAGGAATCTGTTTCTGCCACCCTCGCCAGTGATGCAAAACCCTCTTCTACTTGCTCCCACTCTGCTCTTGGCTGTTACTTTCTCTGCATCACACCAGGGAAGGTTGCATCCACTCAGTAGCTTTCACTGTTTTTTAGAATTGAGTGCGAACTCCTGCTAGAGAGACTCTTCGTTTGTTGTGCCTGAGCCGCTCCATCCTGTCCTCTCCCAAGTGCTCTTCTTTTCCCCTTTTTATTGTATTTTTTTCCATTACCATTTATGCCCCTTATAACCCCTCCCCTCCCTGAAATCACCACACTGTTGTCTGTGTCCATGAGTCCTTTTCCCTTTTTGCTCGATCCCTCTGCCCCCTGACCCCACCCTCCCTCCACAGCGGTCAGCCTGCTGTCCATCTATGAGTCTGTCTCTATTTTCCTTGTTAGTTTGTTCACTAGAGTCCACATAGGAGTGAAATCATATGGTATTTGTCCTTCTCTGCCTGGCTTATTTCACTTAGCATAATGTTCTCCAGGGCCATCCATGCTGTTGCAAAGGGTAAAATTTTATTCTTCTTTTATGGCTCATTAGTATTCCATTTGCAAATGTCCCATAGTTGTTTTATCCACTCATCTACTGACGGACACTTGAACTGCTTCCATATCTTGGTGATTGTAAATAACACTGCAATGAACATAGGGATGCTTATGTTCTTTCGAATTAGTGTTTCAGGTTTCTTCGGATAAATTCCCAGAAATTGAATCTCTGGGTCATAAGGCACTTCCATTTTTAATTTTTTGAAGTATCTTCATACTGCTTTCCACAGCAGCTGCACCAGTCTGCATTGCCACCAACAGTGCAAAAATTTTCTCCTTTCTCCACATCCTTGCTTGCACTTGTTGTTTGTTGAATTATTGATGATAGCCATTCTGACAGGTGTGAGATGACATCTCATTGTGGTTTTAATTTGCATTTCTCTGATGATTAGTGACGTTGAGCATCTTTTCATATGTCTATTGACCATCTGCATGTCCTCCTTGGAGAAGTGTCTATTCTGGTCCTTTGCCAATTTTTTAATTGGATTGTTCATTTTTCTTTTTCATGTTGAGTTTTGTTAAGTTCCTTATACATTTTGGATATTAACCCCCTATCGGATGTATTGGTGAATATGTCCTCCCATTCTGGGGGTGGTCTTTTTATTTTGTTGATGGTTTCCTTTGCTACATCAAAACCTTTTTAGTTTGTTGTAGTCCCATTTTTAAATTTTTTTCTTGTGTTTCCCTTGCCTGGGGAGATAAAGCTGATAAGATATTGCTATGAGCGGTGTCTTGGATTTTGCTGCCTATGTTTTCTTCTAGGACTTTTTATGGTTTAGGGTCTAACATTAAGCCTGTAGTCCACTTTGAATTTATTCTTGTGGGTGGCATAAGGTGGTCTAATTTCATTTTTATGCATATGTCTGTCCAATTTTCCCAACACTATTTATTGAGTAAACTATTTTTAGCCCATTATATGTGCTTGCTTTCTCTGTTGAATATTAATTGAATTTAACATTGTGGGCTTATTTTGGGGCTTTCTATTCTGTGTCTGTTTTTATGCCAGTACCAGGCTGTTTTGATTACTATAGCCTTATAGTATAGTTTGATATTAGGTAGTGTGATTCCTCCAATTTTGTTCTTCTTTATCAAGATCTCTGTGGCTATTTGGGGCCTTTGGTGGTTCCATATAAATTTTTGAAATATTTGTTCTAGTCCAGTGAAATACATCATTGTTATCTTGATAGAAATTGTATTGAATCTATAGATTGTTTCAGGGAATATGGACGTTTTAATGATGTAAATTCTTCCTATCTCCCAAGTGTTCTTTTTTCTTTCTGTGACTCTATACCCACCATCCTTCATCCTTCTTGCTTAGGTCTTGGCATAAATGCCACCACTCAAGGGGATCTTTTCTGGCCCCTCCCAAGAGTAGGCCATGCTGCCATCAGAATGCTTCTTTTGCAGCACTGATCACAGTCATACTGGATTCTTGACCTAATTACTTAATATCTATCTCCACTCTATTATGTGAGCCTCTTCACACAGGACCAGAACATGCAGTTCAGTGCCTGGTACACAACGGGTCCTCAGTAATCGTTTGTGGAATGAAGAGCACACCTGTGACTAAGCAATGTGGTCAGGGCCTCCTGCGTCATCATGCACTTTTATTAACGAGCTCTCCTCACATGACTGTTATGTGCAGAAAGCCCCAGCTAAATGGGGAAGGGCTACAGCAGCAGAGACAGTGAGTTCAGCACTGGAGTAGGGTCTGCTGTCTTCATACAACCTGGGAGCCTTTGGGGTCTAGGACTTCAGTTTCCAAGAGGGGCCTGGAAGCAGCCTTGCCTGGTCCAGGGAGGAAAAAGCTTATGGACCTGCCTAGTCTTGTTGCCGGATGGACACCCTGCTTGGAGTCATTTGCTCACTTGGTCATTTCAATCATCTTTATGACTTCGCAGGTTGAGTCATTCAGATGTCTGAAATAGTTACACTGACAACGTGCTTTGGGGACATTCAGATGTCCGAATAAAGGCCACAAGGATCAGCCGTCTATGAGCTCATCCGCCACTTCCTGTACTTTGCCAACAGGCTTCTGAGTTCCACAATCTAAACAGAAAGGTGGAGATGGAGCTGACATCAAATTCCTGTAAGCCTCCTGTCTTGAGAGGAGACAAATTTGGAAGAGTTGGAGACAGTACATGAAGTTAGGTGTTGATTTTATCTGTTACCCTACCATCTGTCTGCAGTACATCTCAGTAACAGGACACCACTTTCCATATGCTCCAAG